ATTTTAAGCAAAAGTGAACATAAGCTTAAAACCCACTGAGAACCCCTCTCCGGGGTTTACCATCAAGATGGGAGAGGGAGCTCTGCCTAGTTGTGGACCTGGGCTCTGCCTCTGACCATTTGTTCCTCCTTCCAGGGTGCTCCCTGTCCAAGAATTTGGGGCGTTTGGGCAACGGGGTGGAAAAGAGCCAAGGGCCAAAGGACTGTGGTGAGGCCGCTGGGCCCGCCAAGGATTCGGACAATGCCCGCTGCTCTTCCTTAGCCAGCACCTCAAGCACTCGCCAGGAGAGAAAAGGAGGGGAGCACCACCCCTTCGGCTTGGTGAGGGGCAGATAGGGCATCCCTGGTGCCACTCTCTGGCCACTCACCAGGTGCCCTGATTTCTCCCAGCAAGCGGCCCGGAACTCCCCTCCCGCCACTCTGACTGCCATGGCCATACCTTGAATACCACGTGGATCAGCATCTGGAGGCCACTCTTACCAGGGTACTTGCCAGCCACGTTGTCTGGCGAAAGATCAAAAAGGTTGGCACCTGCCTCAGTGCAAACTGCATGGACCAGCATCTTCTTCCCGGTGCCTGCAGGGCCAGCCAGGAGGACCGACTTCACCTGAGGGGCCCTTTCATGCACTGTCTGAGAACCTGGTGGGGCAGGAGCGGGGAGAGAGAGAGGTCGGGGGGGCAGAGCCAAGGCTGCCCAGATCGCCACGAGGCAGCCGTCCCAAGCCCCGCGAGGCCGCCGGCTTACCAAGAGGCAGGATAGCATACAGGGCAATGTTCTGCCGGACGTCCAGCATAGAGGGAGCGGGCTCGATTTCCTGCTGGCGCAAGATGGTTCCCAGGTAGCAGAAGTCCCCTGATAGGAAAGGAGATGCTGAAGGGCCACCTGGACGCCACCTGCCAGGCCCTCCCAAACGGTCCGACTGCACGGCCCCGACCGCTGGCTGGGAACCCAACCTGAGGAGGACGGGGCAAGCTCCCGGTCACCAGCAGTCCTCAGGAACTGTGACAGGCCGAGTCTAAAGGGGGGGGGGGGGCTGATGGAGAGGAGCCTGGGCAGCCCACAGGCCCCCCCAGTACCCTGACTTTATGGCCACCTTTGCAGGGACTGTTAGACTGGCTTCAAATGGGGCTGGGCGCTTTAGGGTTCACACATGGTGGGGATCCAACCCATGGACTGGTATAACCGAATTACTGACTTCTGTGCCACCGAGTCCAGAGTCATGGTGCTTTACAGAATAATGACTAAAATATCCAGAGAGCAGCAAAGGACAGAAACATTCATGTACAGTGTGTTATAAGACCATACCACGGGCACGCTAAGCACGCTAACAATTCACTAACACTGTTAAGCGCTCTGTAGGGGATCCTTTGGAGTAGCAAGCCAGCTCTTCGCTCGGAGAAGCCCTCCAGAAAAAGGGCCTATCTCTACCGCTTTCAGGAGGTTACTGGGTGGGGCCTCCGATGCCCAAGGAGAGGCTGTGCTAACTGGTACTTCGAGGAAACGCAGGGCCCTCAAGAACCTTCTGGCGGCTGAGGTGGGCCTGCCTCAGGGCAGCGGCGCTGTGCTCCCTACCGAGCCTCCGCCCTTTGCACCAGGGGCTCTCCGAAGGCCAACAGCCCATTCAGAGCGCACTGCAGCAGTCTAAGCTGCAGGATGCTGGGTAAGCCACGGTATAGGCAAGCCGCAACTTGGATTGTTCAGCAGAGTAGATTACGTGCAGCCCAGGAGGAGAGGGTTGCATGAACCCAGCTGGCCAAAGCCCTCCATATGTGCTTTAAGATGCACGTGCAGGGCTCAGGCTGGGCACCCGAAGCTAAACCCAGGGGAGACCCTGGCTCCAAATAGGGCAGAGAGGGCCTAAGGGGGCCATGGCCCAGGAAACCGGATGAAGCCTGCTTGACCTCCTGAGCACACGTTCCACGAACGAAGCAACCCTGTAGCACTCCGGTCGCCGCGTTGCAAGGCAAGGTGGAAGTTCGGGGAGCTTACAACTCAGAGAGACATCTAAAGCAAAGGCACCCTTAAATGCCAGAACTAAGCCTCTGAAGGATCCCAACAGGCAGAGATCCAGGACAGGCAACAGGACGCGCATCTTCAGGCAGTTGCGCAACTTTCTGCCAAGATGGCACTCCAGTCCTCAAGCACTGGAGGGAGCGACAGCTGTGAAAGCCCCGATGGGACCTCAAACGCATGTGCTAAGCCATGCAGGACCCCCCACACACCAAGGGGGAGAAGCGGGGGGACGCAGCCAGCACTTCCCACGTTCCACAGCCTCTGCCCTGTGAGCGCCTCCAAATGCTCGTCAGGAAGCGCACGCTCCTCAGCTGCAGAGCGAGCCGTTTATGGGCTGCACGTGTTCTGCAAAGGTCGCAGAGGCTCACAACAGAACGTGGAGGGGACGTTCAGGGAGGGGGATGGCCACTGACCTGAGTATTCAGCCAGCTGCACCTTCTGGGGCTTCTTAATTATGCCCTGGAGCACCAGTTCTTCATAGAGAGAATCAATGGTTCTGAAGGGGAAGCAGGAGACCCACATCAGGGCAGCTGCAGCCTCCAAGCCCAGAAGCATCCCGCGGAGACCTACCACCTCACCCCTCCAGCAGCTGGCTGGGCAAGGAGGACGGGAAGGCCCATAGGGTGGAGAGAGCCTAAGCAACGGGAAGGGTGTTCCCACACTCAGCCCTGCAAATACCCCTGGCGCAGCCAGAAAGAAATTGGGGGAGGGGGCAGCTCCAGGCGAGTAGAGGCTCTGGCGGGCTGCTGTTGCTACTGTGAAGTCCGAATCCTGCGGAGGAGTCTCCATGGAGGGGAGCCCCGGAGTGCCTTAGCAGGCCGCTGGCCTTGCTGGAGCAGGCCCTTAAGCCTTCCGCCACCTGAGGCCTCTGCGAAAAGACTGAACCCGCAGGGGCCTCCCGCTGAGCCCCCCCCCACGTTCCATTCTGAAGAGCAAGGAGTTCACGCTTTGGGGAATAACAATTCTCTCGGCATTCAGATATGCTGTCTTACGCCTCCAATTTTCACAGAGCTTTTTAAAAGAAACGCCGTACTAACATTTTAAATCCAAAATGGAACATGCACCTGCTACCTGAATTAACTTAAATATTCCGTACCATAATAACAATAATCCTTAACGCAAAATTGCTGTCAAGAATGTTCTTCAGGAGAAATTTCTGGGCCTAGGAGCAAGAACACCTCCAGCCCAACGGACTACCATTTCAAGAAAGTCTTTGCCGTATTTCCCACTCAGTTTTCTTTCTGGGGTGCTTGTGTGAGATGGGACTCAAAGCTGGCAGCTGTGTCCGAGGCCCTGTCCCGGTCCTCCTGCAGCTCTTCCTGGCATCGCTCGGGATCCGTCCCCCGTCCAGGACGCGCCTCACGAGC